CTCTGCCACAAAATCAAGAAGGTGAGACAACAAAAGAAGTATGTGAAGAGCTGGATTCAGATGAAACTTTATGCCTTGTGATACTTTACAGTTATTGGAGAGAAAATTCCCTAGGGAAATGAATGACTCACCCAAGGTTTTATTGTGGGAGAAGAGGGATCCCTTAGGTCTCACTCCTGTTAAGGTATTCCATAAACCATTGTTCTCATCCAATGTCTACTCTCACCTACCACACCTTGACCGCTCTTTCATTCAATACGTATGTGTCCATTCACCTATCAAAATGTTCTATTATCTTTAATGCATTCATTCTGCTAGGCTGAGATGGTCTGACAGATCATCATTTTACACCCTTCATATGAGCCTCCTTTGTGGCGAAAATTTTATTTAATCTGAGTCCATTGCCATGACGTGGATCTTAATACTATGTATCTAGAGGAGTCTGGTAAAGCCTTTGGGTTTTTCCTTATATGATTTTAAAAACAAAAATGATGTCTAGCTCTCATTTTAAAATGAAACAGTTTTGGGAGGCAGAAAAGATGAGCCAGTGATTAAGAGATCATGGTAGGCAAATGTGATTGTCTATTTTCTAAGCTCTGATTTCTATGTAGAAATATGCCCCCACTCTCCTCTCATGTTTAAATTATGACCTGTCCTCATGCAGAGCTTTTGAGTGTGTGTGAAAAGTGTTCCAAAACTTACAGTGTCTCAGCAGCCTGTAGAGGGCTTCCTTTGGCCTTCTACTGGAAGGAAACCTCTTAGGTTTTACCAGTGAGGGAAATTGTTCTTGGTTGTTCTAGTAAACTTTTAAAGTAAGTATCAAAATAAACAAGAAAGAGAAACTCTAAGAATATGCTATGGAAAGATGTACATATATTATTTCTGCTCCTCTAGACATAGGAGCATTCTGTAAACAGTGTTGTGAGGTGAGATTCGAGTGACATCATTTGGTTTTAATTTGTAGTTAGACCGTTCAGGCGATACAGTTAACTTAGAAAATCAAAGATATGAATGATGATGAAAATATGGTAACTGTTCTTTCTTTTTTACTTATTTCATTCAGGCTATTGTTTAGAGACTGAGATGGTTAGGAAAGCCTTGTTCAACCCTCTATTATTTACTCAGTATCACAGAGGAGTTAATAAAATCTTGTTTTCCAGTTGTGCTGGATATTTTTTTACAACAGATTTCCAGGATAAATGATGGTGATGTGTTTAATATCAAAGGAGACTTAGTAATCGTCTTTTGTTTTTGAATTTTTAAAAATCCCATGGAACCAATGAGATTGTCATATGAATCTGGTGACCTCAATTAAGTTGAAGGAGAAAAAAAAAAACAAATAAAAAAATCCAAAAAGTTGTCTCCTGATCTCCACTCATGTTCACCTATCACATACATACACAATTATAAAACTTCAAAACTATAAAAAGAGATCTATTTTGTATTCACTATACTCTGGAAAATGCCACATTTAATCAAGGTTTCTTTTGCCATTTTTGTCATATAAAAGGGGCTCCACTGTACAGCATGCCACTGTCTTTATTTTCATTATCAGCATCAGTGAGGCGACCTCTTGACTTTCATGAAATATGGATAAAGAACTTAGGGGCTAAGCATAAAAAGATTATTTAATACTCCAATTTATCAAACAGATTCTGTTGCAAATTGGTTAGATTATTCCATATAAAACTTGAGTAGCTGTAATAAAATGAAACATGTGTTTTTAATGTCTGATTTCTCAAACAAAAAATGGATTAAAGAAAAATTACATTTTAAGTAATGAATGTATATTTTCTATTTCAATCAGAAAAAAATGAGAATTTAGGCTAGCGAGTAACTATTAAATTAAGATCATTTCTGTCTTTCTATTAAATTATTAAGGAATATAAGATATAGTTATTTTTAATAAAGCTGTACACAATGAAATTATTTATCATATAAAATGCTATTTAAAAGTTGAAGGGATGTCAGGATCCCTGATAGATTTAGAAAATTGAAACTTTATACAGTTTATATGATCAATATAATTTAGTTTTTCACTCGTTTTCTCTGTGGCATTATTTAGGTGCCAGTACACTAAATCTGCAGCATCCACAGACAAACTCATGAATCAGCAGTGCATGAACACTAGGTTCGGCTGTTATCTGTGTTATAGGGTTTTAAACAAGGACTTGGTATTTCCAGATTAGACAATGTGAAGATGGAAAAGGAAACCATCTTCATTAGAAGGGCACTAAAATTGGTTGGTGGTGGTGCACACCTTTAATCCCAGCATTCTGGAGGCAGAGGCAGGTGGATCTCTGTGAGTTCGAGGCCAGTTTGTCTAGAGAGCTACTTCCAGGACAGGCTCCATGCTACACAGAGAAACCCTGTCTCAAAAAACCAACGTGGTAACAAACAAACAGTACTAAGAGCAATGCTCTCCCACACTGAGGCAAAAGAATCAACAACAGATGAAGCAATAGAAATAATTCAATGAAGTAACTTATATACCCAATTTCAAGTTTCCTTAACGTTACATAGGTTAGGTAACTCTCTTAGTCTCTCGAGATATCCTGCCGAAACTAAGGGCAAAGATTGCAGGACCTTTATTTTTCCACTTTCTTCAGTCATTATATAAAAGAATATACTAGTTCACTTTAATGATAAATGAGATATTTTCAAAATCCACAAACATTTTTTTCTGAATTTCATTTAGTTTCATACTTAAGACATGACCCTTATAGAAGTTCTCTAGAAATGCATTTCTTATCCTGATGTTGAATCCCTTCTTCATTGTTAAGAAAAAAATTATTTTAAGAAACGTCTTTTAAATCACTCACGCAGAAAAAAAAACATATAGAAGTAAAGAATTAAGTTGCAGGAACCAACATCTAAGAGATAATACTTGAACTGAAATACTCAATCGCCCATACTGTCAATAACGAATGCAAATCTTCCTCTTTCACCTGTTAAGGACATAAGCTCAACATTTGCATATACAGTATCAAGACAGTAAATGAAGCTTTAATTTCAGCTCAGAAAAAAAAGGAAGGAAGGAAGGAAGGAAATCCAAAGAAGGTGTTTTGCTTCTTAAATTCTTAGTCTTTAGCTTTTTCCTCGCCTATTATTTCCACAACTAATTTCTGTCTGTAATGGCAATTAAAATATATAATAGAATCTGACAAAAGGAAGGTGTGTTAGCTTTTTAGCCCTAGCTAATGCATGTGTCTTAGTCCTCTCATACAATATGCATCTTGGTTGATGTCATATGCATTAGGCAATTGTCCAGGAAGACGATGAATTCATGAAGGACAGAGACCATCATTCTACCATATACTTCATTAATCCAAAGAGTACTTCAAATCTTGTATATGTGAGTCTTGGCTATTATATTTATACAGTATAGCAGAGATAAAACATCAATTATAAAGGTATTTTGAATTGAAAAAAAAGAGCTCCCAAAATTTCAAACTTATTACTGAATATAACATTAAGAAAAAAAATTAAGAAGTAAAACTAATAACTGATGTGAAATTCATACTGCATGACTTTTGCATCTCAAATATATTCATGCATATGTATATATAGTATATATAATGTGTGTATGATATATAGTCAAATATATGATATATATATATGAAAAGCAAAATACCATATATACATGTATATGTGATGTCAGGCAAAAAGCTGCAAGATCTAAATCATGAAAGAAGAAAATGAAATGATCATTGCCAACTTGTGAAATATTCAGCAACAAAAATTTTGGATTCTACTTTTAAATTTCCAGCTCCCAAATTCAAATGAACTGCATGAATATTAAAGTCAGTCATTTTCTTCTGAAGCATGAAAGATGGTTCACAGCTGTTTCTAGCCATCCTTTCACAGGGCTCCTGCATCGGAGCATAATTCTCAAGGCCAAAGTTGAACAAGTTATTCTTGGGAGCAAAAACTAAAAAGGGAAAGCACAAAAGCAATAAAGAATGGAGCCACTAGGACGTCAAGGAATGTTTGTTTAGGACATCACTCATCTCCATCATCTGCCCGATTTAAACTTTTATGACAAAAGCTGCCTAATTACTGCAAATATTTTCCCACTAACAAAAGACACTTCGGGGGATAAAAGTAACTTTTCATCAAATTTAATTAAAAAAAAATATCATGTCTTCCTATTCTCTACCCAAATTAAGGCTTTGCAGAAGATTGTTAAAGTCCATAGGAACCACATAAAGATCCTAAGAGACTACAAAGAGTAGATGATGCTCTGATCTGAGCCATGAAAGTCATCTTCGCTTCAATTAATTGACTTTGCCTTTATGAACTTAAGAATCTTTCAAGGGGGCTGACATTTCACTCATATGAAAAAGCCTGGAATGTGACAGAGAGAAGGGAGGAGAAGTAAATCAAAGAAGTGAGCAATTTTCCAGATGCAATGTATTTTTCTTCTTCCTTCTCTTTTAAAAAAAAAAACCTAGAAATGTTGGAGAGCCTCCTGACATCTTAATTTTCTCTGCAAAACACAGTAGCAGAAGTGCTTAACCCACAGAGCATCAAGAACCAGACAAGCATGCATTTGAGCATGCACATACCCACAAAGCAAACTTTAGTTCCCAGCTGATGTTCCTTTGATTGAAAAATTACCAAGAATTTGCTAGACATCTGTGTATGTGATTCAATCAACCTGATTTTAGCACGAAAGCAACATCACATTTGCAATCATTTCTTGATTTTAATCACTAAGTCACCATCTTCATGCTTGCCTCTTCACCTAAACGTTGCATTTATAAAACCTGTCCAGTTGGCTCGACTTTAAATCCCACCAGAATATTTCAGTTGTCACCTTTAGCCATATGCTTGCAAGAAACTGTGCTCAACTATTTCATGCAAATACCAGTTCATTCAGAAAGATTTCCCCCCACCCTGCTGAGTAGAAATTCACTAAAACATTGAAAGGTTGAAAAAAAAATCTTGAGTCTTGAAGATAAATTCTGAGCAACAGAGTATACGAGCATTGTGTCTTGGAGCCATGGAAGGGGAAATGGCGTTAGCTCTCGAAGTCCCCTGGTTCAATATTGCCTTTTCCCCCAGGGTTTTTCCTCGTTTATCAGGAATCATTTTACAAGGAATTTCTTGTTATCCACAACTAGCATAAATCAATCTATCACAGAAGGATTTGTTTAATACATTTATTCCTTTAAGAAGTTGCATGACCATATTTCATTGACTTGTACAATAGGGAAAAAAATCTTACTACTAAAACAGAGTTTGTGGAGGCTAGTGCATGGTAAACCTATTTAGTCTTTTCAGGGGTCCACTCCTAGATTTTCTTGTTAAATAATCACAACTATTCATGTGAGCTGGTCTCACTGTATATCTTGCCCTTTAGCCCATCCACACACAGCAGCTTATTGTGGTATCCTTTAAATATGAGAAATAAGAATGTTTTACTCTGCTATTAGAAGAAAAATAAAAGAGTACTGTATGTTACATGGCCCATGAAATATTGGCGGTGTGCTCCTTCGCCTTCATTCTCAGAACGGCGATACTGGAAGACCTCCTTTCAAACTCTGGCTTGGTTTCAAATGCATGTCCGTTGGTAGCCCCAGTGAGAAGAGAGTCAGTGAAAAAATTGTTGAGGGGCATGTGACCGAACTGGTTCTGGTGGTTTGAAAACCCCGTGTAACTGGAATCTGTCCGAGGCGAGTGCGAATAAGGAGTCATGCACGAGGACGCGTCACGTGGTAACATGCATGACGTAACCACAGAACCACCGCTTGCATTTCCTGCCCACAAATTGTTCTGAATCTGGAACACATGAAACAACAAATATTACATTCACACATTCTGACTTTGGCGCTCTTACTTTCCTTAGCTGTTCACTATTTGACCCTATTATAGGAGCTCTGTCATTTCATTCGAGTATATAAAACAATGACTGGAAAAAGAAAACATTATTGAAAAAGTCTTACAGTTTATTTACTATAATAAGCCAACAAAGCTTCATACGTAAGCACAGAAAATACTCCCAGAAAACAAAGATTTCGTGGAATTCTTTGTTATAGTCATGATTTAAAATACACATGAGATATTTAGTCATGAATCATGGCTTCTTTTCATGTGTTTAGGGAAGGAGCTTAAAGCATGATCTTAAATTTAAAGATAATGTTAATCCTTCTAAACACAGTGATACAACTGTGTTTTTCCTGGTTCTGAAGCTGGACTCTTAGTACAATGTTTTTGTTGGAAACCACTGATGGCTTTTACACAGTTTTGTCTGAAATGATATTTTTCATGGTATTCATTCAGAAAGTCCTTTTCTGTTTCGTTGCTCCTGTGTCCTATATCGACCCTTCAATAAACTGCTCTGAGATTCTGAAATATATGTACTTGAAGCTTGTGTCCTACTTTTTATATACGATATGGAAAATTCAGAACTGACATGTGAAATGTAAAACACACTTATAATTCTAAAACATCAACCATGATCAAATAATAGAAGTACAGGTAAAAAAAAATTGTGAATGTTAGGTTGTCCTGTGAGAATAATTAAGGTACTGTACACATAACAGATGCCCAAAGAGAGGTACGATTTGTGATCAACAAACTCAACATTCATATGATTAAACCTCTATAGAAAATAACTAAAGAAAACCATCAAGCACAAAGTTTTCAAAGTTAGTAGCATGTAAAAGAGACCCTGCAAAGAATTTTTAAAATGAAAATGTTTAAGTAAAAAGTATCTCATTCATAATAGGCAGCAGCAACAACGACAAAAACCAAAAGCAGACCAAAGAAATTACTGGGATAGGCTTAGAAAGTCATGACAGGTGGAAGAAGGGCAAAGAAGGAGTAGAGACATTTATGTGGTAGAGCAAAGCAGAGAGATGCAGCCTCGGGAGATGAAATAAACCAAAAGTAGGTGCGTTTGAAAGGTGCTGTACTCTTTTGTTTTGCTTTATGAAACAGAGACTGGCTCTGTAGTGCAGATGTGCCTAGAACTTGCCAAGTAATTCAGGCAAGGCTCAATTCCCAGTCCTCCTGTGTCATCCACCTGAATCTTGGGATTACAGGAAGACACATGACTCCATTCATGTTGTTTCCAACAGTCTGATTATAATACATTTAAACCAAACATGTCATCAGTGTGTATTGTCACAATATCCGGCTTTCTTCTATTTTTTTTTGGGGGGGGAGTTAGGATAGAAAATGGAATCATCAATGATTTTGACACATAGGGAAGTCTTGAAATTGACATATCCCAGGCGTCTACATATAGCCTCTGATATAGTCTTACAAAACCCAAGTTGAATAGCACTCTATGACAACCTATATTTTTATCAATAATAGAGAAACGTGTCATCAATCTAGCTCACACTGATAGAGCAGTTACTCTGTGACTCAAGACAGGGTGGTGAATTTGTTTCCAAAGCATGAAAGAAAATGTACAGAAATGATTTTAACACTTTTGTAGGGTACCTCACAAAAACACTCACTGAACAACAAAATACTTATTCCTGTGCTGTTCTAAAATGGACATATAATTATAAAATGGACATATAAAATAAATTTAAATTTTCCTTTTAAACACGTATGTCACTTATGTATAAATATAAATTCAAAGAGTTAACCGGTGAATCTATGTAGAGATGTATATAATTATTTGCATATTGATTAATCCTTAAATCGCCATGTGTTTTACTGTGTGCTTACTCCTCTATCCAATTTCACATCAGCCAAAATGATTGCTGGGCTATGTATCTCAAACCAACAAGAGGACTGTTAATGTCATCACTCCATCAAATTAGCTATTCGCAACATTCAGTCGAACATTGTAAAACATAGCACAAACCACGGTCACATGACTGAAAAAGGCTTTCAGAAAGGAAGGTAAACTTGTTTGTTTATTTAAAAATAAATAGTGATAGGGAACATTTACTTGCCTGTCTTTATTATAGTGTTTCTTAATTCATAATGTCACTAAAATGTATTATATTCCACATGCATAGAAATGTTTCCAACCAGTTACACAGTGAGAGGAAGGAGATAAACACAACTAAGCAATCCATAAATTTGAATAAAGAAAATATTTATTCTGAAAAGCAGTAACATTAATCAACTTGTAAATATAAAAAAAATGCTTGTAATCTATTCTCTTGAAAAACTAGGGTAAATGATTTTACTTTAGCACAAACTTATCTGGATGTGATCAAGCAAATCAGTGTGTTATTTGTGATAGAGAAAATTTCTAACATGTAGGTATATTTTCTGAGCAGACCAAAATGACACAGCCAATTACTCACAGCAATAGTTTAGTTTGGATATGCAAATATTCTGAAGAATTTGCAGCTTTATCTCCTGCTCAGAGAACACTCAGGAACATTTTCTAATAGTCTTTCTTCAAGCTGTCTCTCTATTCCTTCTTACACCCATCCCCAAAGAGCCTTTATTTTAAAAATATAATTTCAGGAATCTATTATATTTCTATAGCAAAACATAAGGTGTAAATTATAAGGTAATACACCATAAGAAAACGTGATTTTTTTTCCCTTAAAATATTACCTCCGGATATTCCCATATCTGACAAGGAAGGCTAGGATCTAGTGATTGACAGCTAATGAATGTTAGTTAATTGCCATGTTTGTCATAAACTACAAAGACTTTTATTTTGGCACAAATACATGGGTGTTTTATAATCTGTCCTTTGTAGAAGGTAAGTCTAAAAAACAAACAAACAAACAAAAAAACAGATACCTGAGACTTTTAGCTAGACTGAATAATCAATAAGGTCAAATCTGACCCAAAGAAATCTAAAGATACTAAAATAATGTGAGTATCTTTGAAAGTTATAATTGCTTATTTATTTGTGCAAATGTCCAACTTTGTAATTCAAAGGCTCTCCTCTATGATAGCAAATTGAATGATTACTGCTCATTATTTTTCTATTTATCCTGGCCTTTAAAAACAAATCCTTCATAAAATGTACTGTATGATTTAAATGTTCCTAAGAAAGTGAAATTTAAACAGACCAAATACTGAAAGTATGATAAAATTCAGGAATTACTTGTATTAATATAGTTAATGTATGTTTATAGTTGGAAGTCTAAATCATCACAAAGTAGAATCACAACAAAGATTATATTCAGATTCTTCTATCTTGCTATCTATTTTTACCAAGTGTATTTTTTGTCAACAAAACTTATTTCCCATCCCAGATGCATTTAAAAAGTACTTACTCATTATGTATTATGGAATCAAATTAACATCAGTGATAAAAAAAATCAATTGATATTAAGAGACATTACTGGAGTCCACCCTCGAAATACAATTAGACTCTCAAGAGCTATAACTTTTTCACTTTCTGTAGCTATAAGCTCTATAACTTTGTAAGAATTCCATTCTTCCATCTGTGCTCCATAAGAAGACACTGACTCAGCATTATTTCTCTTATATGAAAAGCTTCTTCTGTCATTAGGCAATTATGGCAAAATTCCCATGTCTCCCCGTCCCCAAGATTTCATCTCTAATTCTTTCAACCACTTCTTAAATGACATAATTCTAGACTGTTCCTTTGATTGTGTTCCTGGAGAGATGCTTGAGTTGCCAGTCACCTTCCCTCTAACTATCATGGGGCCTCCTCAATGGGTTTATTATGTAACAGGTGTGATCCTAGATGATGTGTGCAACTGTCACCATTGTTTGAAATCACAGAGTTTTAATAGTTTAATGCTCGCAGGCAATATATGAAAAGCGGCTAAATTTCCTGCAGTCCTGACCACCTACGCATATGCCAATTTTATTAAAGTCATACTAGAATCTACAAATTGAGTAACCGAAGATTGAGCGTTGCTTCTTTTTGAATGGCAAGCCTGAGAAAAATCACATCCTATAACTGGAATAAATAATACTGTAACAATTTTACTTTTAAATGGGCAAGTTTCTCCTTGGACCATTTCACAGAGACATCGGTAATCTGTCATTTGAATTGCTTGGGGATCTCTAAGGTACCTCATATTCACAGGCTGAAAAGCCAGAAAATTCCTATGTATGTGTTTTCTACACAATTTGAGTAAAGGATGTGTGCACATTTTATTTTTGTTTTTTGTCTTTGAAAGGAATGTAGATCCTAAAATCATTCCATGTTTTAATGTGATTCATGATATTTTTTAGAGTCTCTAGGAATGTATTCAGAGCATTGTCCAGGAATTTAGCCATGTCTCTCATCAGCAAGACTGGAAGTTTGGCTTCAAGATAGTACACTCGGCTTAATGTTTTCTTAAACAAATAGGAAACCTAACACTTACTTATCTCATGTATTTGGAATTATGGAGAAAATAGTTTTGTTTGACTCTTTGTAAGCACACACAAACTATATTACATTCATTTTTCTTCAAGACAATGAAGACGTCAGAAGAGAGAGATAGAAGGGTGTGTGTGTGTGTGGTGTGTGTGTGTGTGTGTGTGTGTGTGTGTGTGTGTGTGTGTGTGTGTGTATATACCCATGCCTGCTTATATAATCTGACTCTGGATGCAAACAAATAGATAGTGATTTGAAGTCACTCCTTGCAACCAAGCTGAAAAGCACGTTTAGTATCCTAAACATGGTGCATATTTACAATGTAGGTTTCCATGCAACATTTAATAGTTTTTATAGCTTTTAAAGAGAAACACCATATTTGCCTTTATCTTAGCAAAGAAGTTTGATATATAATAGTTTTGTGATAACATTTTAGCTTCTCTGTGCTAACATAACCATTTAGAAGTGCTAGGTAAGCATCTGTGTTAACATAATGAATATGTGTAACACA